TTATTTTTTTTATATTGCGGTACCGAACGCGAAATTCTGAGTTGTTACGGTAAATGTGACTCACAAAAGTGATAATGAAATTAAATTTGTTTTTATTTGGGTCAACCAACACTAGCCCATTAACTTAATATATATTTGAGTAGAATGTTTTTACAGAAATACAGGCTTACAGTTAGCTGCCGTTATTAGCGTCAGGTACAGGTTATAATAATAATATAATAATAATATTCTACCACAATCACACAACGCCATCTAGTCCCAAACTAAGCAAAGCTTGTACTATGGGTACTAGACAACTGATATAAATACATATATACTTTTTTTTTTTTTGTAAATACATACATATTATACATAGAAACACCCAGACCAAATCAAACATTAAATGTTCATGCACACAAATGCTTGACTTGAGCGGGAATCGAACCCGCGACCTTTGGAATAGCAGTCCGTTACACAAACCACTACGCCATTCGGTCGTCATTATTACACAGGTTATGCACAAAGTTTGCCTAATTGCGGCTCCACTCTTGCACATTTCGGCTCCAGCGACCATCATTTCGTCTGGAGACATCACCGGCCCACTTCCACTTCAGCTTACTGATTCGCAGTGCGATGTCATTTACTCTAGTTCTCTGTCCAATAACTTCGTTTCGAATTTAATCGGGCAGAGAAACACCCAGCATCGCACGCTCCATCTGAGTGACTCGCACGCACGCTGAGTGACTTTAAACTTGTGGACCAGTCCAACAATGAGTGTCTACGTCTTGGCTCCGTATGGCATAAGCGATTAGGCAAACGTAGTGTAGTGCGCCCTGCGGCACGTTGGATCGATGATTTGAAGAAAGTGGCTGGTAGCGGATGGATGCAGACTGAAAGAAAGGAAGAAAAACAATGTATTCGTGGACGTAAGAACATACACTCACAATATAAAGGAAACTTAATACTAGGCTTAAGCGAAAATATATTTTTACGTGTAGGTATCTCACGTGCTAGTCGTATAGGACCTGGTTCACCGTCTGCATAAAATATCTAAAAAAAAAAACCAAAAAAAGGAAAAGTTTTGACAGGCCTGTCATAGTTTGCATTCTGTTACTTATTTTGGTATATGAAAATTATTTCATTAATAAAATAAATAAAAAATAATTAATTATCTCTTTACCGTTATTTCGTGTTTATGAATTATATTAAATAAAAAAAACAGTTTTTTAAAGTAATTCCATACAATTATGCTTCCTTGTGCATAAAAAATATGCCTGCCATTAAAGTAGTTTTTTACTAAGATAAAGAAATGTTTTTTATGCTCTATGAATATTATAGAGCATAAAAAACATTTCTATTTTGTCAAATATATTATTATTCAGTTCTTGTAAATATAAACCATATTGTAAATTAAGCACATGGACAGAAATATATCAAGTGTAAAATTGACAATTTAACGGGCCCATTTTTACAGATGTTTGAACTTGACTGTGGCGTACTAGATACTTACTTTATTGATGTTTAACGTAAAAAAGCGACCACCACATATTGCTTTTTTCAACTAAAAAAAAGGGTGTCTACAACCGATACCAATTCATTTCAACACCAGACACATTCCGTGAAATATATTTCAATTTATCTTGACACAGGATGACCACATTACGTGTCGTGAAACCTTTTTCTCGAAACCTTTTTAAATTGAGTTGTGGTGTCACTCAGTTGCTACTTAAAAATCTCTTGGAGATATTACTAATTCAGATATTTGTATGAGATCTTGTTTTGAACGAGAATTTACTTGTCAAATCAAATCATAGGTATTTGCGGATATGAAGATCGTTCAGATATTTCTCTAATAGTGAAATTGCAGAAATTGCAATTGTGTGATGTAGATTGACTTGATTATAAGCTATCAATATATTACTTTAAGGCATTTTATAATAAATTCTTTGTAGTTACTGCGTTTATGTAATGTACTACCCTGCACTACTATACATTAATGTTCTTTAAACAGCTCGTAAAAGAGCGTAAACAGTAATAATTTTATAATAATAATATTTTAAAATAATATTGTTTTTAATTACGTTTAATTTAAGTCTACATTATTGTGTACAGTAAAAAATGTATTAGATGGCGCTACATGTAGTATCGCATCGTAACACACTTAATTCACTAACTGTTTTTAATCAAATTTTCTGAACCATTGCCGAATTGTGAGGTAGAATTATATGAATGTTAAATTATCAACATGTTTTGCAATTTACGCCGGGTCATAGTAATGAGTATCAGTGTTATTTAATATTCATTGGACTGTAAAATTATAAAGTTGATGAACGAGTGGCTTATATTATTTAACGTCCATTTTATCTCTGTTTAAAAAGGACGAGGACTGATATCTGTAACAGTTAATAAACCCCTTCAAACTTATAGGAGGCTCATCATATGGTTTGAGCATCAGTTTGAGCATAGCAATGAAAATCTAAAACTTCAGTATTTTCTTATGGCAATTTAGTAATATATGACGTCACACGCCTTCTTGGCAAATAAAGGTATTCCACAACAGTTTTGAAGGCCGTCAAAGTACTTTGGGCGGCCACGTCTGCCCCCTTTTCCCACTATATTAAAAATATATATTTTAGTAATAGCGATATAATAATTCTGAAAACAGATTAAAAAAGTACAATTTAAATTGCTTTTAATTATACTGAAAAGTAATTGGTTAGTTATATATTTGAATTAAGACTCCCTGAACTTCATTTCTTTAGTTCGTCAACTTCCCAAAATACATTAAGTTACAAAATAGCTAAGTTACTGTGCTGTATTAAAATGAAAAGTGCCATAAAGTAAATTTAAAAAACAAAAAGTTCTTAATGTTCAAAACAGTCATCTCATATCTTTCGAAACGACTTCATTTCTTAAATTGCGTTTCATTGGGCAAAGTGTGTCTTCGACTTCGATTAACCGACTAAAGGGAACTAAAAGTCGCATGCTCAGAGCTGCTATAAATAATTGAACATCTCAACATGAGTTGTGGCGTGTTAGGGTAAATAGTCTTTTGCTGAGAAACGATTCAACAACATCTGATTTACGTTAAGTGAGCTCGGTTTATATTTGGCAGTTCGTTGACAGCTTTCAAAACCAAGGTACAACTACCTATCGTCAATTTGAAAAACGTTGTCACTACATTTAATGTTGACCACCCTGATTTTTCTTTCTGCAAAATTAACTAAGAACACTTCATTTAGTCACCTTTACACGACAAAAAGTTAAAATCGTGATTTGTGGTACTACAGACAGACATATAGATACACACTTTACGATATTATTTCTACTGTTTTTAACAGTTTCACTAAGCTACTGCAATAAATAGAAACATTGAATTTATTTTAGTTCTCCTTGTGTCGTCTGTTTATACATGTGGCATTTGAAACAAAAAAATGTTATTCTAGCCAATGAAAATGCACATGAAACTGCACTGATGCCAAAGCCATTGAGAGCATAAGCTGAAAGACACAATTCCGAACCAATTTTCCGTTTCAAACGCGACAATTTTTCTCGTCAATTAACCATTTCGACATCGGTTCCGTGAGCAACTACGATTGGTTTTCACGTATGAGCTATCGGCCATGAAAGGGCGGGAAATAATCCGTTCTTCACATTGCAGCTTTTATTCAAATGTGCACGACTGAGTGAACTATCCAATTAACCCTTCAGGTAAAGTTAGCAAACGATTCTGTTTTTAAAAACTCATTCCAAAATTAAATTTGTAAACCGTCGTTGAAAGTTTTTTGTGATGCAAATGAAAAAGGTCAAATGCAAACAGAAAACTCGTTTGCATCATTTCTATACAAATAGGTTGTACGAACAAGGAATAGCAATATTAGCTATGATTTTCAAGTCTTAGGTAGTCCAGTCATAGTTTGGAGAATTAATAGTTCTGTTATAGGATGGTACTTTAGTGATGAGCACTAATGCAAGATGAAGAAAAGAAGATGGAAACGCGACTTTGGTGAAGTATCTAGTAGGATATGGAGCGATGAACGTTAAAGTTCCTGCTACACAAAGGTAGAATTTTCCGGTGGGTGGGCCGTAGTCCAACTGTTGATGTATGAAAGTTGTGAAAATACTGATCTTGAATGACCACGTAGTTTGCTGTATTTCCGTTCGATGATACTGAAGGATGTTTCTGTTTTGTTGTGTGTGGAAGTCACCAGAATTCAGTAGTTAGGTATTCGCAGTACGAGTGCCGTCTTATTGCAAAACATCAATCAACATTATCCATCCCAATGTTTCTATATTGCTGCTACTGGTTTTTATAAAAGTTACAAAAATAAAATGGTGATATAATGGTGAAACAAATCATTACATGCAGCAGCAAGACGAGTGGCAAAGGAAAAGGGATATAGGTTTGTCTGGATCAGAAATGGTCGTATTCTCGTTCGTAAAACGGAACAAGATAGGTATATTGTGATAAGGGACGCGAGTGTTTTGGATAATTTAAAGTAGAAACCTATTATACAACATTACGCATGAACCATGGATTACCGTTATAAAATTCAAACAACTAAAGGTATATTATCAGAATACTCGTGGCCTGCGAACCAAAACACATTTGTTCTTTCAGAATTTAACTACTAGCAACTATGATATCATTGTACTAACCGAAACTTGGCTAAACTCATCCGTCCTAAGCACTGAGCTATTCGACGATCGCTACGTTGTGTACAGACGTGATAGGGAGTCATCAGGTTTCCACCCAGGAAAAGAAGGTATTGGAGTTCTGGTTGCTGTCTCGAGGCGCTTCAGGAGTAAGCGAATAAACGCTTGGGAAAGTACTTGTGAGGATGTCTGGGTTTTGATAAATGTACCACACTCCAAATTAATCAAACAGGTGGCAATTTGCGCTGTCTACCTGCCTCCTCCAGTACATACCGTAATGTTAAAACAATACATTCAAAGCTGTAATTCTATACTCGATAATTATAACGGCCACACTTGTATACTTGGTGATTTCAACCTTAATAATGTTAATTGGGGTATGGCTTCAGGAAACCAGTGTCCGGGCTTGGGTCAGCTTTTGTGTGATTTTTGTAGCCAATTTTAACCAACTCAATCATGTCACAAATATTAGGCAAAAAATTCTTGATCTGGTTCTTTCAGATCTACCATACTGTACAGTGTCAGCAGCTCAGGACTCGCTTACTAAGATTGATCCCTTACATCCAAACCTTGAGGCTAATATATCGATCGTGGACAGTAAAGATCTTAATATAAATTCAAACAATAGAAAATTAAACTATTATAAGGCCGATTATGAGGCCATTCGGGGGGCTCTGTCAGGGATTGACTGGAATTCAGAGCTGGCGGAATGCACAAATGTCAATTCAATGGTGAGCATATTTTACGCTAAACTCAATGAAATAATCAACAAATATGTACCTCATAAAAAATCTGGCGAGCGACATTAGCCACCATGGGTTAACAAATCCCTCACTCGCATGTTAAAAGAAAAGAACAACATACATTCTCGATTTAAGAAGTACGGGAATCCGATGGACAAATTAGAATTTAAATTATTAAGCAAAAGATGTTCTAAGTTTGCTAAAGTGTGCTACAACCAATACATTACCGATATAGAAAGCAAAATATCCAAAAATGCTAAAAACTTCTGGTCTTTCGTGAAGGCTAAAAGAGACGAAAAAAGTTTTTATCCTGGCTTAATGACTGATGGAATCTCGGTCAGTTCAGATGGCGATGGGATATGTAATCTATTTGCTTCAATGTTCTCGCAGGCCTACGATAGTGCGACTTCAGATGATAAATTCACGTTGTCCAGTGGTCTAAGGTACACAGACAAATTTAGCTCAAGTTTTAGCTCCCTGGTTATAGACCGGATAACGATATTAAGAAAGTTGAAGTATCTGGATACAGCTAAAGGTGCAGGGCCAGATGGCATCCCGCCAATTTTCGTAAGAAATTGTGCATCTCAATTAACAACGCCATTGCACATCATTTTTACCACATCGATTTCTTCTGGAATATTTCCAGATGAGTGGAAATTTGCTAAAATCGTACCCCTTCATAAATCGGGTTGCAAGGACAACGTGAATAACTATCGACCAATTTCGATCATTTCCACGATGGCAAAGGTGTTTGAATCTATTGTTTGTCCTTGCATTCAAAACTATTTTAGTCCATACCTATCCAAACATCAACACGGATTTGTCAAGGCAAGATCTACTTCGACGAACTTGGTTACGTTTGAGTACTGAGGCAATTGACCATCACCAGCAGGTAGATGTTATTTATACAGACTTCAGCAGGGCGTTCGATAAAGTACCTCACACTATACTAATGAGGAAGCTAACTGTGTATGGATTTACTGGCAATCTTTGTGAATGGATTCATTCTTATCTCATTAATCGTTTTTCCTATGTAGTGGTGAATGGCTTTAGGTCAAAATCTTTTCCCACCTTTTCTGGTGTACCACAGGGATCGCATCTTGGACCCATCCTTTTTAACATTTTTATCAATGACCTACCCGGCTGCCTCTTGCACTCTGAACCATACATGTACGCTGATGATCTAAAAATCTCACGAACTATAAATAGTATTCACGACGTAGCTCTTTTACAACAGGACGTAGAACACATAAGCCAGTGGTGTAGCAACAACCAGATGCACCTCAATACTGGCAAATGTTACCACATTAAGTTCAGCCGCAAGCTGAAGCTTGTTGAATCTGAGTATTTTATAGAAGGTATACCAATACAAGAAGTTGATACAATAAAGGACTTGGGAATATTTTTTGATAGAAAGCTCACTTTTCAACCTCATTTGGACCATATCATTATGAAAGCATCCAAAATGCTGGGGTTTGTCATAAGAAATGCTAGGGTGTTCCGAAGGCCTCAAACTAAGATACTCTTATTCAACACTTTGGTTCGTAGTATACTCGAATACTGCCCCACCGTTTGGAGACCCCATTATTCCACTCATATTTTGAGGTTAGAAAGAATTCAGAAGCGTTTCATGTGGCATTTGGCATTCACCGTCGGAATCGCCAAAACTAGTAAGAGGTATGAAGAGAGACTGTCATTCTTCAAGGTACCGTCGCTTGAAAAGAGAAGAACACTTTTGGATCTGAATTTCTTTTACAAGTTGTTGCACAACCATCTGGATTGCTCAGTGCTGCTCGAAAGGTTGAAGTTTAACGCTCCCAGGCGTCTTCCGCGTAAATCAATGGCCATAATGGCACAGCCATTTAGAAGCACAGTTTTGGGATATAATTCACCAGTTCCCAGAATGTGCAGAGCTCTAAATGAATATTGCACGGACTCAATTGACGTTTTTGAGATCAAATATCATAAATATAGCAGAGTATTGTGTGAAAACTTACCCAATTAGCCACCAACCCAATTAATGCCTCCTAATGCTCTAAATATTTCTTGTTTGTTTTTTTTTTTTCTCTCATTACATTTTTAACTTACAGCTTACATTCTATTGAACACTGATTTAATTATTATTTTTATTGTTTTTAATTTTATTATTATAACTCGATTTGATGTATTGTAATATGTTGATACTTTGGAATTTTGATTGAATTTGTAAATAATCAACATAATTGTGAATATAATAACAATTATCATTGTAACTGAACTATATAATTACTTAATATTATGTAATTTTAGAGATGATATTATTGTGCATGTTGTATTCATCTGTTATTAGTTATGCAATTAGTTTTAAGCGAATAATTCTGTATCCCCTGTAATGAATTATTGTATATAACTGTTGGTGAATTAAATAAATAAATAAATAGATATGTTTTGCTGAATGAATCATTTCATTAAAATGAAAGAAATGAATTATGTCACCATAATATGTCAATTTCAATTAATTTTCTTAACTTTACTAATGCAAAATACTCTCCTTGTAAGTCTTGTAGGTTCATTCTACGCTGCATAAGTAATTACGTACAAAATGTAATTAATTATTCGTGAGCGTTTGGCTATTGTTCCTATCCATTAAACATGGCCTTCTTACGTCAACGGTTACTGTGACATGGCCAGAGGAAATTGGAGTTAATGAAATGGACAGATTAAAGAGGACTGGGCGCATAATCAGAGTACAGTTCAAGGATATTTTTTTTCATGAAATATTTTTTATGGTATTGTTGGTGTCTGTAAGGGTTCCAGGGATTTCCTTCCTAGGGTACACCTGGTTCCCCGGCTACTGGTACCCGAGACGGGGTGCGGTTTTAGGTCGGTGCGGGTTTGTGTCCCTCACAACCACCGGTGGTATCCTAGGGGCGGGCACGCCCCTGGCTCGAGAGGCATCACGGGACCCTCTCATACCGACTGACGCAGGTGATCACTGGGAAAGGATGTTTCGGGGACCACCTGTGTCTGATCCGCAAGGAGCCAACGTCTGAGTGCCACCACTGCGATGGTCGGACCGTGGACACGGCGCTCCACACGCTATCAGAATGCCCGACGTGGGTGGGGCAGAGGCGAGACCTCGTGGCGGCCATCGGAGTGGGATTTCTCTCGCTCGATAACCTTATTGCGGCTATCGTGCGGAGCGAGAGTGCGTTGAACTCTGTGGTCTCCTTCTGCGAGCAAGTTATGCTTGCGAAGGAGATTGCGGAGCGGGACCCTGAGAGGTTTAGAACTCTCCCGACCCGCCAGGCTCGGGAACGGGCCAGGTACCGCAGACGACTCAGGCGCCGAAGGTCGCAGAACGACCTCCGTCCTCCATAAGCGCAGGGGCGCATAATCTGGGGTGACAGGTGAGGCCATCTGTCACTCGAGCTGAAGCAGGCCGGGGTGACGGCGAGCGCGTTATGAAACGCGCGCGCCCTTCCGGGAGCACAGAGGGAACATGGGGGTTCCCACACAGGCAGGGTCGTGTACCCGCCGTAGATGGCCCGAGGTACATCGGGGCACCAGGGATTTCCTTTCTAGGGTACACCTGGTTCCCCGAATACTGGTACCTGAGACGGCGTGCGGTTTTAGTCGGTTCGAGTCTGACATTGCCACCGGTAAGTGGTATCCTAGGGGAACTGCGCACAGACTAAAAAAAGGGGGTAGAAAAGCAGACATGGTACGTGATGGTAAGTGACTATCGCCATCCATGGACACCTGCTACACAAGAGATACTGCGTGTGACATGAGTGTCAAGAGTGTCGCGCTTTGAGTGGCCCCCCCTTTGAGATAGTGAATTGGAGATTTGGAGTGATTGAGATACAGTCAGTCGTTATAAAGCAACGATAGCGTAGAACATTTATATTTTTTATAAACACATATATTATTGTTAAATTAAACCTAGACACAAAACAAAGTCTAAAGGGATTCTTAGAGGCTTGCTTATTAAGATATCTCCCTGTGATAGACTTTGATACGGATGGAATAAAAAAACCACCGCCCTGCCCTTATCCTATTAACACCGGGTTTCTGTGACGCCGTGGTATCAAACCGGTCGAGCTCAAATGTGCTCAAGCATAGATCTACCACAGTGTATAAGAAAAGTCTTTAATATCTTGAGTGAGAGAGCTTTTCAACGGTAAAAGAACAATACTGCTTTAGAATCGTACCTATAGTTCTTTTGTCTCCTCGTCTCCTCACAGTACCTGTTAAGGCGATTTGGTTTCCGTGCTCTGATGTAATGGCTATAGTATATTGCCTCTATTTCAATGCCCATTAGGGTGAATTTATTGATTGGAAACCGCACACAAAGAATAAAAGCGAAAATTTCAAAATTTACTTACGCCCTCCGAGAAATGAAAAAAAAAAAATGAAAAAAAAAAGAAAAAAAAATGAAAAATGTAAATTTATTAGACAACACCCATAGTTCTCGGACAACATCAGATTTCAAAAGAGAGGATATACAAACCAAAATTACACTTAAACACAAAGATAGACTTAACATACCAGCCCGATATCCACCAGCTGTATATGTTCCCGTGGGGTCCGTGTGGTGACGGATTAAGAATACAGAGTGTCACCACCCCTATTCATCCTGTGGGTGTCGTAAGAGGCGACTAAGGAAGCAAACTACGCAGGACAACAGCACTGCAGAGAGAAGGAAAACTTGAAACAAACCCTTTTTTTTTTTTTTTTTTTTTTTTTTACGTGTGGAAATCCCCTCGGACCGTCACCCCGCCGGGGCTCTCGTTCGGCGGGGCGGTGTGTCGGACTCGAACCGACTAAAACCACACGGTGTGCCCTCTTTGCGCTTCCAGTGTAGGAGGGGTCCAGGTAGTTATCGCCTTCTGGACCCCTCCCAGCGCCGGCCCGCTCCTGGCGCGGGCTCCGTCTCAGTGGACCCTCTCTTTAGGCGGCGTCCGGCACACGCGGACGCCGCCCCCTCGCGGCTGGCCAACTAATGCGGGTGGAGGGGAGAACCCATCCCGTCCACCCGCGGCCACACTCAGGGCGGCATGAGGCGCAGGTGAGCGCGCCTCCGC